TGGTAAAAACAATGAAGACTGTATTCGACTAAAAATTGTTTTTTGTGAGTATGTACAAATTTGTTTATCTTATTCTAATCAAGCGCGAAATTTTTCAATGGTCTGATATTAGTAATAGTGTCCCGTGTATTATGTGGATTTCAAATTTGAATGTGAAATTAGTATTAATTCAATCATTTGGATCGTTGGTAAAATAAAGTAGTAAAGAGAATACGTCTGGGATGGAAATCAGGCGAATACATTTAAGCATAAAACAATCAAATTTTATAATCGTCAACAACGATTTTTTCAACTTCATGGATCCTATTTCCACATTGTTAGCACTGATCATTTACTTTAAAGGTCATAAATATTTTTTTGGTGTTTGTTGGTTTTTTTTTCAATTTGCTATCATCATTGGCGATTATTTGATTATTAATGTTTTTTTTTTCTTTCAGATGAGATAAAAGTAGATAAAAGTGCAGTGTTCATTTGCGACTGTATAGTGCGATGGGTTAAAAATGATTTTATCTTTAGTGATGTTTTTTTTTTCTATACACCTTCACTTTTCGCTAATTATCAATTTTTAAACAAACTAGAACCAGTTAACCCCTTTATAGTGTAGGTAAAAAAATTGTTAACGCGAATTTATCATTCAGAAAAAAATTATATGTATTCATATATAGAAATTGTGCTTTCTTTCTAATATACGTACACATACGTGCACGCACAAACACCTACACATACACACATGCACGCACACACACACACACATATATATATATGTGTGTGTGTGTGTGTGTGTGTGTGTGTGTGTGTGTGTAAAATATATAGAAGATAGGAAAGAACTTGTTAGGTAAATAATCCAAAGTTCTTTAGTATTTTTGTTATTATTTTTAAAAAATAGTGCTCGATACAAAAGTAGAGTATAAATATAATTATTTATTTAAAAATATGATTCCAACACGCTACATAAGAGTTCTCATGTTTCAAAACAAGAGCCGAAAACTTCAATATAATTATTTGAATTAAATTGAATTAAAGTGTTGAAGATGGAACAGAGGTTGGTACTGTAATTCAATTTAATTCAAATAATTATATTGACGTTATTATAATTATAATTATATATATATATATATATATATATATATATAAATTCATTTTTTTGAAAATAACGGAAAAGCAGTTTTCAATCAATAAAAACTCAGCCGCTGATATAATGTTGGAATTCTAAAAATGTCGGCGCAAAATTTATTGCACGAGAATGACCCATTCGGATGATGGAAGAAGCGTTGTGCGATGATAATAAGTAATAGATTTGAAACATTATTCCATGGCTATGTCCCAGACAAATTTAAATATATTTATCATATCTATAAATCCAGTGAACTGTACACACACACACACACACACACACACACATATATATATATATATATATATATATATATATATATATATATAGAGAGAGAGAGAGAGAGAGGTGGGGAACAGGTTAAAAATCCATGGGTAAGTAATCCACGTAGATTCTATTAATATAAAATATTAAAAATGATCCACAAAAGAGTGCTCGATATAAGTTTTCTTATAGAGTATAAAGTGAATTTCAAATCAAACAATCCAAACAATTTACCTCATCCAGATGATCATTTCGTCCATGGGAAATTAGTCTTTCCCTGGACTCATCAAATCAAATAGATTTACTGATATATATTGCCGATACACCTGACGGAAGGACAGTCATTGCTGGGTCATCCATCAACGAAAAAGCTAGGTGGCAAATTTTATGTTGCTATTAATTCTCTCACTCTCACTCTCTCTCTCTCTCTCTCTATATATATATATATATATATATATATATATATATATATATATATATATATATATATACTGTAGACATCCTCGTGTATGATAATGCGAGAGATTGCAGCAACTTTAGATGTTATTTCTGTTTATGTTTAGATGTTATTTCTGTATATGTTTAGGTCTACATATTTTTTACAGGCAGTTTATTTCAGATATTTGCATAGCTTTATATCAATTGAATCCTCACTGAATCTCCATTTATGCTAGTTTTCTCAAATCTTTCAGATGGATCTTTGATATTTGCAGATAATACTTGGAATCATCTTTAGACTTCATTCATCGTTCCCAAACCTTTCTCCTCCCTCCGTGGAGCTTGATATACATGAAGGCATTTTCTTTGTATTGTCATTCCATGACCAGTCCTCTTTAAATGTCATTGAAAAGAAAATATACCCATAAACAAATTGTACATTTACCGAATTTATCCTTTTTTTAAATGTAAATTGCGTCCATAAATGATCCCATGATGTGAGATATGAAATATATCAAGCTATTTAATATGTGATAAATAAGGGACGTATTATTACGATTAGCAAATAAAAGTTAGAACTTCAGCTTGGTAAGCATATCTTTTTTATTCCTATCACATTCTCAGTTCATGACGAAGTTTAACGCTTTCATTAAGAGTAGCCCTTTTCAGTATGCTCCACAGATATACATGAAGGTCATTAAATATTCAAATTAGTTTTGCTCATGGGAACTGATGAACTCGTTGCTGTTATTTTATCATTCTGATTGACTTGGAAAGGGCTTGTCTAGTGCGTAACTTCAGACTGTTTTTGATTTCGAAATCCTTACTCAAATAAGGTAAACGATTATGAATCACATGTGATTCAAATGGCACATCATCCTTAATAAGCAAGTGGTCACGTATCATTGCCATTAGGGAAAGTGATTTGACTTTAAAGCACTGGTGATAAAGCGGTCGGCACTTGTCAAAACAACTCAGGTTGTACAGTTAAATTGAGATTGCCATAAATATGGAGCAGCGTTACAAAAAAGAGAAACACAAAAAGAAGAGGGACCATGAACACAAAAAAATGTTTTCAGCCGTTGAATATATATTGAAAGCATTTAAAGATTTACCAACTCAATTAATAACCGAGATTTACATGAGAAGAGATGATTTTTATTTGTTATCAAGTCTCTAGATAACAGAACCAGGGTATCAAACCTGACAGCTTGGAATTCCTTGCTCCAATCTAGGAAACAGAGAGAAATGCAATATATTCTCACCATTTACGACTAGACATTGGTCCTCTTACGATCACCGATGTTAAGCAACGTCGTGCTTGGTTAATACCGAGATGTGTGACAATTTAGATATACCACGTGCTGAAATCTTGCCTGTTTTCCTGGTGTCAGGAATAATGGTTCGAAATTGTTAATCGGAGAAAAGAGTTTCAATTCTAGTTCGGTTCGTTTTATTCATTTACGCACAAATATTTTTGGAAAAGGTAGGGATCCACTTTTACTCCCTCTAGCTATGGGTTAATTAGTAGGATTTATAGGATTAAATCATAATTATCTCCCAAAAAGAAAGCACAGCTATTAATCTTATGTTAATATATATATATATATATATATATATATATATATATATATATATATATATATTATTATTACAGTTGTAAATAATATTAAGCATAATGGCAGATTACTGGTTCTTTTCTTAAAAAAGACAAACCTCATTTTAGTATCTGTCTATATTTCTGAGATGATGTATTATGTACATTATTTACATTATTCGGTCTATTGTCCTCATCTTTCTCGCCAGATTTATTACAACGTTTCGGTCGTTGTACGCTTCGACCTTCCTTGGAATGTCGAACTTAACACTTTATTTCGCTCTGTTTCGACTGTTCTAGTTGCACGTGCCATGTTTAATGGATATCAGTTATCTCACGACAGGAAATAAATGTAACAATCTATTCATTTTTCTTGATAATAATAAGCTTGGGTTATTTAAGTGTTTTAAAATAATTAATTTTCAACAAGGCATTAATTACATCTATAGCGTTTCCAATTGTGAGATTTGGCTGTAGCTATAATATCCCACGTGATAATTGGTGTATTACAAACCTCTTTTATTGTCAGTAATGTTTTGAGAGAGCATCGCTGCTTATGTATTTTATAGTGCCTAAAGTCATTCGATAATGTTTGAAACGAACTTTCCAAGGATTTTCTGTGTAATAAAAATAAAATTTGATATCGTTACCGCAGTGCATACTAGTTCGGTATACAATATTATCCCTAATACATTAAACATGTAAAGGACAGATCATGTTTTTCAACAGTTGAATTTTTTTTAAAATGAATTTGCTGAGTTTAGTGGACACGTATTTAATTAATATAATTTTGTTATGTTGTGATATAGTTTTATCGATATTACTAACGCAGCTACTGCTGATTTAAACATTATTTTTGTTAAAAATTTTATTTAGTGTAGGTGATTGATTAAAGTGTTTATGAATTAAATTTAGTAAAATTTTTCCGATATTCTTTTGACGATTAGAATTAAAAGGTGGATTAAACCACATTAGGTATATTTTTACTTTTTTTTTCTTTTTTCTAAATTCCCTAAATTTACTTTATTGTTGCTTAGTTCTAAATCTTTTATATATTTAATTATATTATTATCAAATATTTCCGCATAACTTGGGTTATTAAAAAATTCAACCTGGACTGATTTATGTAAGTTATCTAGAGTGTTATGAATTTGGTTTGATTCTTTACTGATGTATATATAGTTATATAGATCTTTGGTATATGATTTGTAATAGTACTCAAGTACAAGGTCACATCGAGAAATTTTTAGCATTGGTTGTAGTGTTGATATTTAGCTGTGGTCTTTGAAAAATTTTATCAGTTCCTTTCTCAATCGTCATCTCTATATACTCCGGTATTTTTAATGTCAAAAATAAATCTTAGTCGCCACAATAACACAATTCCAAAAACCTCACATGACTCCGCTAAATCATATTCTCTATGGCAATGTTAAATCTTGTATTATTTCTTTTGCTCGACAGATAACCGTTATGGAATAATATAAGATTTTTTGCCTGATTTATGATTATGATTTCGAGATTGTTAATAGGACAGTAGTTTTTAGCTGAATTGATAGCAAATATTAGCAAATTCTCGATGATGGATGGCTAGACACTGATGTGATCTGGAATCAATATGTTCCTTATATGCTTCTTTCGATGAATGCCGAAGAAACCTTTACAATAGAAACAAGGATGATCTGAAATATAAACAGGGGTTATGGAAACAACGCGAAACATTAAAGTCCTTCAGAACAAGGTAGCTTTATCAATACAACATCGATCGTTTGCCAATGCGATGATCTCGGATTATTCCAATTTATTTTGTGGTACTTTGTCTAGGGCAAGTGTTAGCGATTATAATTTCAAATTTTCAACACTGGTAATTTGTTCCACAATTAGCCGCGATGTAAGTGAGGAAAGAGATGGATACCTAAATTTCTACTGATGAAATCTAGCGTAAAGATGTTGCTGGAATTAGAACTCAACACACCGAACTGACAGCAGCTACTCTAGACACGCATCAACTAACAGCTTTGGAAAAGGTATTAATTAATTTTTTCATTCACCCACAACTATTGGTTAAATAGCAGTGTGATTGAACTCTCGATGTATAGGTGATAACCAATAAAACCTTTAAGAAATTTGAAATCAACCCACTAATTCTTCCATAAATTAATGGCAATCACAGATATAGAAAAAAGAATCTTTGGGTATCCATGTTCACTTATGTTCTATCAAGGCATAGCATTAGAAACTGTTCATTTAATGATTCTTTTTCTATGGCTTACCAAACTGTGAGATTTAAACGAAAATTGAGTGGTAGGAAAATACATTTCTACTCGAATCTGTCCTCGCTGACATCTAACGTGGAAACCGGAATAAACTCTTCTCTCTGGACTATACTTCATGCACACCGTAAACAAGAGTACTATCGCTCTTTATCTGGAACAAGGGTATAAATTCACCAGTCTCAAATTACACGTGAAACAAATAGTAGGTACATTTTAACCTTCCAAGAAACCGGGATTTCTCGTTTGTGTTAGTGCCGCGGAGATGATAAGGACGTCAGCCCCACAAACTTTTTGGAGAAAGGTGTGAACGGCCAAGACAATAAGAGGAAAAAGGCAGATGTTTAAAGATAATAAAAGTCGATATTATTTTTCCAATATGTACAAGAGTTAACTCACAGGAGAAAATGACTGGGTTGTCGACGGCACTAGCTGGTCCACTGCCGGGTTGTAGAATTGTCGGCGGCGGTAGCTGGTCGACTGCCGGGTTGTAGAGTTGTCGGTAGTGTTAGCTGGTCGATGGCCGGTTTGTAGAGTTGTCTGCGGCGGTAGCTGGTCCACTGCCGGGTTGTAGAGTTGTCGGCGGCGGTAGCTGGTCGACTGCCGGGTTGTAGAGTTGTCAGCGGCGGTAGCTGATCGACTGCCGGGTTGTAGAGTTGACGGCAGCGGAAGCTGGTCGACTGCCGGGTTGTAGAGTTGTCGGCAGTTGGTCGACTGCCGGGTTGTAGAGTTGTCGGTGACGGTAGATGGTTGACTGCCGGGTTGTTGAGTTGTCGGCGGCGGGAGCTGGCCGATGACGTGGTTGTAGAGTTGTCCTCGGAGGTAGCTGGTCGACTGCCGGTTTGTAGAGTTGTCGGCGGTGGTAGCTGTTCGACTGCCGGGTTCTAGAGTTGTCGGCAGCGGTAGATGGTCGACTGCCGGGTTGTAGATTTGTCGGTGACGGTGGCTGGTTAACTGCTGGGTTGTAGAGTTGTCGGCGTCGGTAGCTGGTCGACTACAGGGTTTTAGAGATGTCGGCGGCGGTATCTGGTCGCCTGCCGTGTTGTAGATTTGTCGGGAGCGGTAGCTCGTCGACAGCTGGTTTGTAGATTTGTCGGCGGCGGCGGCTGCTTGACTGCCGGGTTGTATTGTTGTCGGCGGCGGTAGTTTGTCGACTGCCGGGTTGTAGAGTTGTCGGCGGCGGTAGCTGGTCGACTGCCGGTTTGTAGAGTTTTCGGCAGCGGTAGCTGGTCGACTGCCGGTTTGTAGAGTTGTCGTAGCGGTAGCTGGTCGACTACCGGTTTGTAGAGTTGTCGGTGACTGGTTGACTGCCGCTTCGTAGAGTTGTCGGCGGCGGTGCTGGTCGACTGCCGGGTTGTAGAGTTGTCGGCCGCGGTAGTTGGTCGCCTGCCGGGTTGTAGATTTGTCGGCAACGGTGGCTGGTCGACTGCCGGGTTGTAGAGTTGTCAGCGACGGGAGCTGGCCGAGGGCCGGTTTGTAGAGTTGTCGGCGGCGGTAGGTGGTCGACTGCCGGGTTGTACAGGTGTCGGCAGCGGTAGCTAGTCGACTGCCGGGTTGTAGAGTTTTCGGTGACGGTGGCTGGTGGACAGCCGGGTTGTAGAGTTGTCGACAGCGATAGCTGGTCGACTGCCGGGTTGTAGAAATGTCGGAGACGGTAGATGGTCGACTGCAAGGTTCTAGAGTTGTCGGCGACGATGGCTGGTTGACTGCCGGGTTGTAGAGTTGTCGGCGGCGGTAGCTGGTTGACTGCCGGTTTGTAGAGTTGTCGGCAGCGGTAGCTTGTCGACTGCCGGGTTGTAGAGTTGTCGGTGACGGTAGCTGCTCGGATGCCGGGTTGTAGAGTTGTCGGTTACGGTAGCTGATCGACTGCCGTGTTGTAGAGCTGTCGGTTGCGGTAGCTGATCGACTGCCGGTTGTAGAGTTGTCGGCATCGGTAGATGTTCGACTGCCGCTTTGTAGAGTTGTCAGCGGCGGTATCTGGTCGACTGCCGGGTTTTAGATTTGTTGGCGGCGGTAGCTTTGTCGACTGCCGGGTTATAGAATTGTCGGCGCCGGTAGCTGGTCGACTGCTGGGTTGTAGATTTGTCGGCAGCGGTAGCTGGTCGGCTGCCGGTTTGTAGAGTTGTCGGTGACGGTGGCTGTTTGACTGCCGCTTTGTAGAATTGTCGGCAGCGCTAGCTGGTCGACTGCCGGTTTGTAGTTTTGTCGGTTGCGTTAGCTGGTCGACTGCCGAGTTGTAGAGTTGTCGGAAGCGGTAGCTTGTCGACTGCCGAGTTGTAGTGTTGTCGGTGACGGTGCCTGGTTGACTGCCGTGTTGTAGATTTGTCGGCGGCGGTAGTTTGTCTACTGCCGGGTTGTAGAATTGTCGGCGGCGGCAGCTGGTTGTCTGCCGGTTTGTAGAGATGTCGTCAGCGGTAGATGGTCGACTGTCGGGTTGTAGTGATATCGTTGACGGTGGCTAGTTGATGCGGGGTTGTAGAGTTGTTGGCGGCGGTAGCTGGTCGACTGCCGCTTTGTAGAGTTGTCGGCGACGGTAGCTGATCGACTGCCGCTTTGTAGAGTTGTCGGCGGCGGTAGCTGGTCGACTGCCGCTTTGTAGAGTTGTCGGCGGCGGTAGCTGATCGACTGCCGTGTTGTAGTTTTGTCGGTCATGATTGCTGGTTGACTGCCGCTTTGTGGAATTGTCCACGGCGGTAGATGGTCGACTGCCAGGTTGTAGAGCTGTCAGCCGCGGTATCTGGTCGACTGCCGGGTTGTTGGACTGCCGGGTTGTAGAGTTGTCTGCGGCGGTAGCTGGTCGACTGCCGGGTTGTAGAATTGTCGGTGACGATGGATGGTTGACTGCCGGTTTGGAGAGTTGTCGGTGGCGGTGCACCGAAGGGTATCTCTTGCCAAAATCCGAAATCTTTAAACAGGACCGAATCAGTGTATTGATACGACTTCAAAGGCGGATCAACAGCGAAAAGGCGATCGCGCATAAGGTTAGTACTTGGCGAAGCCGAAGTTACAGAGGCGATAGACGTTCCTGCGCGGAAAACTTACGAAAACTACAGTTTGATCCAGGCAGAAAAAGGGGCTAACAATATATGGAACGGTTTGTTCCAATACTCCCTGGTTATAGAGTGTAGAAAACCGTGGATATACCATTACCCTTCATGTTGGTCGATTTTAGGAAGTACTGCCTTCTCCGTTGCTCGCAAATTGCGGGCTTTGGATTCAACCGTATTGGGCGAGTCGTCCAGTCACTCGCCCGCTGCTGAACTCAAATCTGCGATATAAGGGTTTATAAGGATCAAGGTCTTTTTTCTAAGGAGCGGCCAATGTCGGCCGCGACATTAGCCTCGTTCTCGCATGCGCTATGTCACTTTAATATTGATTTGCCGGTGTTCGCCTAGCACGTCTATGATGTCTACAAACACATATACAGGCATTTTGCCTTCTCTTCCTTCGACGACATATGTATCCACCACACAGACGTTTTCAGATTATTTAAAGCCAGAAAATACTTTTAAATGTTAAACATCTTATTTTAGAAAATATCGATGATTTAGTGAAAATAAATTAATTTTTAACTCAAAGATAGGGGAAACTCGATTCATACTTTTCCCAAAGAAAAATTCGCTTAAGGGATTATAACTAACTCAACGGGACTTGGAACTCGGCTTTTCGATTAACGATTCTGATCGATTATCATTTACAACAGCCGCACTTTCAAGCTTACAGCGCCTGATATTCCCAAGAGTCACCCAACTAGGTAATAACCACCCTGAGCACTGCTTAACTTTTATTCAACGTAAATTATTATTAGAAAATAATACTAAGAGGTTCATACAAAATCATGCAATTATTAACAATATCATCGATACTTTTATTTTCAATGTAATTTATATATTCATTATTATTGTTACAATTTCTAGCATCCTTTATCAACCCTAACCTATATTGTCATCTAACACGAGGAGTGTATGTTAATATTAGGTTGGTGAAAAAGTAATGACGTAGTAATATCTTTTTTGACGTTAAAATTACGTTAAAAAACGACATTATTACGTCATTATTTTTGCACCAACCTAATATTAACTTAACCGAACTTTTATCATCATAATTATAACATCTAACCCAGAATAGGCATTAATGGTACCCAGATTTTTCTTAAGACACTTGCTAAATACTGCGAACATATTTTCATTTACGCAGCAATTACCGTTAATTGCAGGATCGGCCTCGACCGACATACAAGTCTAACTCATGTTTTTAGCTCAACATTGGTAGATTGGCCAAAACCTGCTGTCTAGTTCGCCCCCAAATATAGGTAAGCTACGGTTAGCCAAAATCTTTGGCCTATCGGTAAATGATGTTTTGCTACTGTTCACGATAACTTGTGCCGTATTTGTATAAAGTCTTAACACTTATATATTGAGACACTAACCGCAAAATCAGTGTTTACACTAAATGTATCAGATGTTGGACGCAATTATGCTTTAGCGTTAATAGAATAATCAATTTAAATTAATGTGTTAATATGCCATATATGTTCAACAAACACAAGTTTTAGTGGGATATATTCGTGCCATCCTAATTGATGTGCGCTAAGTGTTGTACAGTAATTGTTAGGAGTAATGTCCCACTTTTTTACAGCTTGGGGATAATGGTTTGCCTTTTATATCCTACGTAGTCTACCCCTATTTTTGTAAAAAAAAATTATACTTTAAAACTCGCTGCAAATTACAGTATATTTCTTTGGCATATCGACATCTCTTTATTCGTAGACAGAAGGGTTCGTCTTCACTCACTTCACTAAATTACCGGAATAGTTCCTCTCGATCAATATCCAGATATGGCATATGCTATGGCAGCTCTCCCAAATTAAACCTTTGTGAACTCCCAAATCCCTATCAAAAATTACCTACGCGCATCTCTCAAAACAATTTGTCAAAGTAGCCACTGACAGCCCGAATTGACTTCATATGCCCTTGGCACTCTGCAACCAATTTACTTCGACAAAATGCACGGTTAAATCAAATCGCTTGAAAGTATACCATATAATACAGTAATATTATATAGCTTGGGAGTTTGTTAACCAATATTTACAATTGGATGATGCAATCATCTACGGTTGAGGCCTTGCACGACGTGTCCTATGATTAAAGACAACCCATAGAGAAATACTACAACCGCTATTAAAAAAATATTTTACAATTACACAAAAATATTAGTCTCATTTGTGGATTTCAGCACGTAATTCCCATGCTGTTTTTAAATTAAAAACAAAACCATTACAAATTCAATTAAGTCCAGGCATATTATCATCACACGGCTATTACATTTATTGAGTACATGAGACTAAGGTAATAAATATATTGTAATTTCTTGGCTCAGTACTTCTTAGTTGGATGTTGAGGAAAGTACTATTGAGATTAATGTTTCAGTAACCAGAAATACTTTTATTTTGCTAGAAACATCATTTGGGCTGGGTTCTTGCAAAATAACCTCTGACATGGAATTTCGTATGTAGTAAGTCACTGAATACTGGATCATCATCATTCAACCATGATTTTTATTTGTTTGGTTGGTTGTTCATTTAGCGGCACATAAATTCCGTATGGGTCATTTAATGGCGAAATTTAATTTTGTGGAGTAATTTTATTTACAAAAAATGTATTGCTGTTAATTTTATTTTATTTGTTTTTCAAAAATGTATTGCCGTTAATTTTATTTTTTTGTTTTTAAAAAATATATTGCTGCCATTTTTTTTTCAAAAATATTATTGCTGCTAATTTGTTTATTCTTTTTTTACAAAATGTATTGCCGTCATTTTTTCTAGTAAAATATATTTTATATTATCATAAAGTTTATAATTCAGTTTCAGGGTTAACTATTTGCCCATAGTTGGGAACTTAACAGGTACTACCACACCGGGTCAATGTGGATTGGGAAGCTACAGCAATTAAGAGGGGGTTCCACGCTCCTCAAAACTTAATTTTCTCGATCAGAGGCCATGCTACCGAGTGCAGTTTATTGTCATACACAGGACTCATGATTTTTGAAAATTATGGCGATTAGTCAATGTGAATATGCAAAGCAAGAGCGATTTCTGTGAAAAGGCATGTCCTTGTTAAACAGTCACCTCAGGAAATAAAGTACTCTTTTTATCACCGGTTTATGAACAGATACAAGTTGTAGTTGTATCAAGAATAGTATTTTGTAGTATATATCTTGCTCAATCCAATAATGTACTCTCTATATATTTATCTTTTGTAGTTCCTATGCATTAGAGATTTCTTTCACAGACAATATAATGAGTAAGTAGAAAAATATTTCTTAAAGATGAAAGAGAATCTATCAAACTGTGGTCTATATTAATACTGTAATTCCGTGAAAATTAATAGGAGGCATTAATTCCTAAGGTGTTGAAAGTGGTCAAGAGACAACTCTAATAGACTTTCCTTTTTAAGCGTTAAGCAGTCAGACATCGTCCGGTTAGTTTAATCACTCATCGATAAAAGCCTAGGAAGTCGATGACCATCATCGTTTAGAAGCACAATGTACTGGAATCGTAAATGCATAAACAATCATCATATTCAACAAGGCGCAGGAGAACCGCGCGATTCAATGGAAGCATTTACTCTACAAATCAAGCCCCTCAAAGAAAATAGCAAGGTCTTGTTCTCTTCCATTGAGAAGGGACTTAAAATAGAACCAAGAGGTGAACAACATCTGTTTCTAGTGGTATCCATAGTGATACATACCAATTTCCAGTTGGTCTTCCTGATCCTGAGGGTAGTGAGAAAATGGTATCTTGTCATGCAGATCCAGTTCTGATTTCACGACTTCAGAACTGATGACAATAGCCTCTTTCGTGATGTGTATACTGTGACTTACCCGTATATTTGATGCAATGGAATAGCGTGTCACCCACATTAGTGACTACACTATTGGTAGTAACTACCTCTATGTATCTGTAAGTAAACGGACTACAGAGACTAGCTGGGATCTGGCACTCATTTCTGGATTGACTTGCGACGACCTTGTGCATAACTTACTTTTATTCTTGTTGTACTGGTTTTTTACAATAAAGCTTTACTTATTTTATCCACCTTGTTTTTCAAGTATATATTCCTATTAGCACAGAATATAACAGGAAAAGGCGTCTTCTTCCAGCAAGAGTAGATTATCTCCTGAAAGGCCCAATCCAGAGAAATGTTCGAATATTTACTACACACTTTTCATACTTTCTAGTAACCCTGATTTCAATCGACTGAACAACTGTATTCGTCAAGAGGAAGACAACCAGCGGCCTGAAAATCCCAAGGACTTCTTGAAGGGTATTTTGAATAAGAACCACTTGATTGTGATTTGCAATAGCTACTCACGCTGATGTTTTCTTTTTATTGCAAAACCATATTTTGTTATCTAACTGGAACTTTTCTACCATTTTGAAAGGAAATATATTGTTTTTGTAGTATTGAATATCTTTGATTTGTTCGTACAAGCTATATACCCGGCCTACGAGCAAAGAAATGTAAACCCTTGTAGAAGTTCTCTTATCTCCCGAAAATAACATTAAAAAAGCATATTCCGCAAGGCATACAATGTATTATTGTCTGTATAATACGTTTAGTTGAATAACCCACTCAGAACATAGTTACACAGAGAAGACCATGAAACAAATATTTTACTAAATATATTTATATTATTAATAATAATCTAACTGAAATCCACAAGCTTACTATCTTTTAACTTGTTTAAATAGTTCTATACAGTTTTAAGAAAATTTAACTAAGCAGATTATTTTGACTTATTTAGATAATTTCTTAAAACATTTATCTCCGTTCGATTAA